CCCACCAAGACAGGAAATGGTAGGTTTATTCTGCAGAAGAAAGGAGCAAGAGACCCTCCAGATTTTGGAGCACCAATCAACAGCAGAGGTAAAAGTCAGGCACCATTCTGGATAGGTTGATATCCAGAAGAATTTAGATAAATAAGTGGCAAGAAGTCTGACTCTTTATATCACTCAACCCCAAGAAAGCTGATAATCATAAGGCCACCTTCCAGGCAGAAGTCCACATAATTCCTCTGGAATGAAAGAAACACCTTGGAGAAAGTCTTACCCATACTGAAAAGTCAGCTAGGTGCCTGCTCACCCCAGAGCGAAACAGAATCAGCAAACCCTGTCCCTTAGCTATCCCATTCGGCTTCCTAGGGCCTCACTCAAGCTATGAGCAATCAACCAGTGATTCCCAGACAGAGATAAAAATGAGTAAGGAGAGAAGGAGGTGGGCAGGGAGGAGGAGGAGAGAAAGAAGGAAACAGTGGGAGAGTAGATCAAGGGAAACAGAAATAATGCAGCTAGAAAAATAGAACAGACAAAATACTATCACCCTACACATTTTGTATTTATGAAAGAAGAACAGGATGCTATAAGTGGGGGAAAGGGTTAATCAGAGCAAGAATAATTTCTTAGAAATTAAAATCAATACAGTCTAAAACGGAAATTTTAATAGAAAGTTTGGGAGATAGAGCCAAGGAGTCTCCCAGGAAGTAGGAAAGCCCCCCGAAGAAGAAATTTGAAAGTAAAATGAGAAATTTACATGGTCAGTCTTGGAGATTAATGCCTGACTAATATAAATTCCATAAAAAGGCTAGGCATGGTGGTACACCCGTACTCTCAGCCATTCAGAAGCCTAAGACAGGAGGATTGCCATTGTGAATCCATCTGGGTAACTCAGTGAGATCTTGCTTCAAAAATAAATAAATATCCCAGCACTCGGGAGGCTGAGGCAGGAGGATCACTGTGAGTTCAAAGTCAGCCTGGGCTACCTAGTGAGTTCAAGGCCAGCCTGAACTGTATAAATAAATAAATAAATGGCTAGGATCATGGATCATAGTTCAGTGGCTGAATTCTTGCCTAATAGGTATGAGGCCCTTGGTTCATTTGCCAGTAACACCAAAAATGAACAAACAAACAAATAAAATAAAAATATCCACAAGGAAAAAATAGATAACACTGAAAGAAGAAATGACTAAAGAACCCATACAAGAAGGCTTTCTCAATTATGGTAGCCCCCCCACCGCCCCAAGTGGGCAACACAGGAAAATCATCATGAAATTTTAGGGTACTGAAAACAAACAGTGACTGAAAAAAGCTTCTGGAGAAAAAGAAGTCATACATCAAGGATATGGACTCAGAATGGCTCTGGAAACCAGAAGACAGGACAGAATTGACCCCCAAATTCTAAGGGAAAATAACTTCAAACCTAGAATTATTCTACACCCAGTTTTACAAGTGTGTTAGAACAAATACCCATGTTTTTTCCTATGACCCTTCTCCCAGGAAATACCAAAAGATTTAATGAAAAGTCAAATAAAAAAGGCAAAAGGGAATTTGGGGTTCAGTGATGAGGAAATTAGTGCACACCAGAAGCTTGGGGGAGTCCCAGGATGACAGCTGGGCAGTACATCTGAAAAGCAATCTGTCCTGCTAGAAGCAAAACAGGAAGACACCTGTGGAGGGATCCACAGGACACCCTGATAGGTATCCCCGCTATGTAGCCCTCCCCCAAGCCCCTCTTTTGTAGCCCTTATGTGCTTGTGTCATTATTTTTCATTAAATCACTAGTGAATACATTAGACTCCGCTTTTCACCGCTGAGTCGAGTAATAATCTATCATTACAATTCCTGCATTGTACAGTTTTTGCTTTTCCTGCATTATAAACTCTCTTTGTTCCTCCATTGGGTGGAGAGCACTATGGAGAAAAGCAAAGCAGGTGGTAGAGAGAAGGTCCAGAGGGAGGGAAGTTTGGAATTTGGTGGTAGGTTTTCAGGGAGAAGGTGGCCTGAAGGAGGAGAAGATGGAAGAGACGGAGGCATTTGGGAGAAAACAGTTCCAGGTAGAGGTCATAGTTCATTGTCCTGGAGACAGCAGCCTTCTGGCATGTTCTCTGCACACTTACTAGAATTCTCGCTTGCAGCCTTCACTGTCACTGCCACGACCCACCTCCCCATCTAGGGATACCCCAACCTCTCAGGCTCTCATCTTCAGATTCTAGTCCTTGTTCATGTGTTTTTGTCTCAGGATCCAGAGGGTGACCAAATGGCGTTGATAACTACTTGCAAAGTGTTTCAGTTCATTCCCTTGCCCTAGATTCTCTTTGTCACCCTATCTGTCCCTGTTGGAAGCCCGACCGACATCCTTCCAACTGTAAGGGCTCTCAGGGACCGTCTGACACAGCCCCACTTGACTCTTCACTGTGTCTCTGAGCAGTGGGCGAAGCTTGCTGACCCCGGATGCTGTCCTCCCGACTGCTTTTCACCCACCCCGCAGCCTCCTCTGTGGTCGGCCTCTGGTGGGCTCTCCCCGGGTGCAGTCCCAACACAAGTTCCTGTAGCAGACCTGAGCCCAACCTTCGAGGTTCAACCTCTTTCCATTACCCTCACACACGCTGCGCTCATTTCTGCCTTTAAATCCGCACCCAGTCATTTCGTAGTAAGCTTTCTTCTATTCTGGTCCACATTTCAGCCATCCCCATGGTTTCTCTGGTGGGTGATGCAGCGTTGTTTACCGTATTCACACCCCCACCCTCATAATGGTCTTATGTCATGGGCAGGATTGTTTCCATCTTACCAGAGAGGAATCAAAGGTGGAGAGAGGTAGGAAGGGGATTGGCTAGGACTGGAGCCCACGTCTGCGTGTGCACTTAACCACTGCACAAGTCCGCATCCGACTGGCACGCAGCGGATGTTTGGAAATATTAGCTGATCTGTTTGGTATGTGTTGTTCATGCCATCGCCGCAGGTAACCGTGTCCTGAGGCTTACAGACCAGAAAGGGAGCAAAAAGGACCCCACCCAAGAAGGGCTCATTATGTGCCAGATGCTCAACCGAGTTCGGGATTGTGAGGAGTCACAGAAGATGCAGCCCAGAGAATCAAAGTGGTTGGCTCAGGGGAAGGAAACTCAGGAGTGGGGAGAGGAGGCAGGACACTTCTATTTTTATTACAAGCCTTGTAGTACTCTCTGATTTTTGTTGTGGTTTTTTTGGTTTTTTGAGACAGGGTCTCAGTATGAGTTGAGACTGTCCTGGAACTCACTATGTAGCCCAGGCTGGTCTGGAACTCACAGTGATCCTCCTGCCTCAGCCTCCCAAGTGCTGGGATTACAGGTGTGTGCCACCATGCCCTGCCTAGTATCTGATTTTTAATACCATGTATAATATTACTTGATTAGAATGAGAGCAGATTTAAACAAATTGCATTACACATTCTTTTAGAATCTTGGATGTAGAGGGATGAAAGGAATATTTGGCAATAGCTGTTTTATAGGTTTGTAATAAGAATTAAACAACATAAGATATTTAAATTGGGAGAGTTGGCACATGCCTATAAACTTAGTACTCTGGGAAGCTGAGACAGGAGGTTCGTGAGCCCAGCCTGGGCAACTTAGTGACTTAGGGAGAGCCTGTCTTGAAATAAGAAGGGCCAGGGCTTTAGCTCAGTGCAAATATCTTGGGCTCAATCTCCAGTACAGAAGGGAGGAGGCATTTAACACATGCTTGACCTAGAACCACCGGCAAGAATTATTATAGCATGAGGCAGGACATGGGGTCAAGGTGCATGAAGGGCTCATTAGACGCAAAATGTGTCATTATAAGGACAGACTATGTTAATAAAAGGTTAATCTGGTCTCTGCCAAGACAGAAACACACTGTATCCTCCCCTGACCCTTCAGTTCCTTTCTCTCTCGCCTTGCTCCAGATCATTCTTTCATTTCCATGCACTCAGTGGAGTAATTATACCCACCAACGCCGTACCACCCACCCTTCCCACTGTGCTTCTTCATTCTAATCCTTAGCCCTGAGAAAGGGAGCAACTTTGCTATAGTTGAGAGGGGAAAGCAATTGCCTGTTTTCCTGAGATATTGTAATTTCTAGGAAAGGGAGTCCGGAAGCAAGTACTGGTCACATTAGTTCCATTCGTGCATACATCAGATACTTATTTATTGTGGTGCTGGAGCTCTGACCCAGGGCTTTGTCGTGCTAGGCAAATGCTTTACTTCTGTGCCACTCAGGATCTGTATTTACTGCATGCTGTGTGCCAGGCCTAGTTCTAGGTACTGAAGATGCCGTGGTGAATTAGATGAGCCAGCTTCATGACTTCGTGGAGTTTTCACATGATGGCACAGTGGCCAGAGTAGCCTGAGGCCTCTGAGCAAAGACAGTCACGTCCCTTTGCAGCTGCCCCATCTGATGCATGAAATGGAGCCGAAGACTTGGTCGTTCATACCTGCTGGCATTGAGCTGGTCTCCCTGACCAGTAACAGACATTTGACCCAAACTGAACAATTAGATTCTTTCCCCTAAGAATATGAAAAATGAGGAGCTGAGGAGGAGGCTCAGAGGCAGAGTGCACACTGAGGCTCTGGTTTCAATCTCCAGTGGGTGTGCACGTACAGACATGCACGCACGGCCAAAATCAGGCCCGGGAGGTGAGCTGACGGAGTGACATTCACAGGTGCCAGAGCCCAACCTATGAGGAGCAGTAGTCATGCTCAGACCATGGTACAAGGGGTGGATTCTATGTGTAGGCTGAGGCAAACAGCTGCCTGTCCTCAAGAAAGAAAATGCAGCAACTATGCTTTAAGAAAAAGAAACCAGAGATGACTGGATCCCAGGAGGGAAGCAATAAAGAGAACAGCAAAACGTGTTTTTAAAAAGAAGACAGTTGCTTAGCACAGGCAAGGGTGCAATCTCTAGTGCCAAAAAATAAATAACAATTAAAATAAAAAAGGAAGGAGCAGCAGCCTCTGTATCTCGCAGCTTCCAAATTCTGCTCCACTACCCACAGGCTGGTCCAGTTCTTCTTGGGAGGTGTTTTCATCCACCCAATTATTCCTCTCCCCTCGGCTTGCATTGGTTTGAACATGTCCGCCTGCAGCAGAGCCTGGAGTGATCCTCATGATCCCCTGGGTGTTGGTGGGACCTGGGACTTGCTTCTAGTAAACAGAAGGTAGCTATGGTGAGGGAGCCTCTGGATGTAATTAAGGTCCCAAATCAGCTGAGCCCCAGTTGATCAGGAGAGAGATTATCCTGTGCTGAGTTTGAGATCATCCTGACCTAATAATGAAAAACTCCTTAAAAGAGAGACAAGGTGATGATGCAGTGAGCAGCTGTCTGGGAGGCTCAGGTGGCAGGGAACTGACCGCAGCATGAAGAAATAAGGGCAGCAAAAGCAAGACCTCTCATCACACGAGGCCCTAAGACTCACTGCTGCCAACAACCTGAGTGAGCTCAGGAGCAGATTCTTCCCCCTGAGCTTCGGGGTCAAAATACAGCCTCGCTAGGTGTGGGGGTGCACACGTGTAATCCCATCTTGGGAAACTGAGGCAGGAGGATTGCAAGTTCAAGACTAGCCTAGGCAATTTAGCGATTCCTTGTCTCAAGATAAAAAATAAAAAGGGCTGCAGATGTAGTTCAATGTGAAGGCCTTGGGCTCAATCCCCAATACCACAGTAAAGTAAAACAAAACAAAGTTCAGCCAAGCTGGGCTTGGGGATGTAGCCCAATGGGGCCCCGTGCCTAGCATGCGTAATGACCTGAGTTCAATCCCCAGTACTAAATAAGTAAATGGACAAACATATAAATAATTAATTAATTTAAAATGCTGCCCACCAGTACTTTGGTTTACAGCCTTGTGAATAAAGGATCCACCTCAAATTCTCCTGGACTCCTGACCCATGAAGCTCTAAGATAACAAATGTGTACTCTTTTTTGTTGTGTTGTTACGGAGGATAGAATTTGGGACCTTTCTCTTGCAAGGCAGGTGGCGGCAAAATGTTTACTCTTTTGACCTGCCATGTTTGTAGGGATGTTTTAGCCCATGGCTCAGTTTTTTTGTTTGTTGTTTTTGTTTTAATACCAGGGATTGAACTTGGGACCTTGGGCTTGCGAGGCAGATGGCAGAACCACTGAGCTAAATCCCTGGCCCTTTGTGGGGATGTTTTAGTACAGCAGTAGAAAACAAATGCATTGCCTTTCCCACCACTTTGGCTAACAAACAGGCCTAAGATTCTGGGTCAGGAGACCTCTGTTTTGTTTATAGCTTTACAATGGTTTGCTTGAACTCTTGTTTCCTGCTGTTATTTGGTATTGGAAATTGAACTGAGGACCTTGAGGCACCACTGGGCTAAATTCCCAGCCCCATGTTTTGTTTTCTTTCTGATATCGCGAATCAAACTCAGAACCTCGCACTTGCCAAGCAGGTGCAGTGCAGCGGAGCTACATCTCTGGTTATGCATGCTATTTGGGATGCATGGGGTTTTTGTATTTTGTTTTTATTTTTTGTTTTCAGGCAGGATCTTGATGTTTAGGTCAGGCTGGCCTTGAACTCACTCAAATTTGCAATTGATCCTCTTTCCCCAGCCTTTGGAGTGCTGGAATTACAGGCGGGAGCCATTGTGCCTGGCTGTGATGTTTTAATTCTACACCTACTTAAAACTTTACTTGATGTGTTTACTTTATCCGGTCACTGTTCATTTATTTTTACCTGTATATTTGTCCTTTCCATCCCTGCATGTTCCTGCATATTTCCACATCCTTCTGGGCTTTTCATTGAAAAATTCCCTTTAGTATTTCTTTTTTTTCTTTTTTTGGTACTGGGGATCGAACTTGGGTCCTTGCGCTTGTGAGCCAGGCACCAGAACCACTGAGCTAAATCCCTGGCCTTCTCAGGTTTTGATAGTCTAGAAATGTATTTATGTTTTTATTTCTGAAGGGTATTTTCACTAGGTATAGAATTTTAGTTTAAGAGTAATTTTCCTTTAGCACTTTAAAGATGCCACTTCATCAACCTCTGGATTTTTTTTTTAAAGACAGGGTGTCATTTTGTAGTTCAGCCTGGCTTGGAAGTCACTGTGTAGCCCAGACTGGCCTCAAAGTCATGGTAATCTTCTTACTTTGGCTTCCCTAGTGCTGAGATTACAGACATGTGCCACCATGTCCTGCTTCTCTTCTGGCTTTTGTCATTTATGTAGAAGAGTCCATTGTCAGTCCTGAGATCAATTGTGATTGCTTTTTGAGTATGCATCTTTTTTTGGGGGGTACTGGGGATTGATTATAGGGCCTTTGTACTGGGCTACAACCTCAGCCCTTTTTTTATTCTTTATTTTGAGGCCAGTCTCACTAAATTGCCCAAGATGGTCTCGAGAAACTGGTGATCCTCCTGCCTCAGCATCCTCAAGCTGGCTTGAGTGTGTGTCATGATGACTTTTGTCAGTTCTGGAAAATTTTCAGTTATTTTCTCTCTTCAAATATTTGTTTTTTCTCATTCTCTTTTCTTTCGTTTTAGGGCTCTAACCCTACATATTTAGACCTTTTCACTGTGTCCTAAATGCCTTTCTCCCTCATCTATATTTTCTATTCTTTTCATTTTCTCCATACTTCAGTTTGGATATTTTATACTGAAGCTATCTTCCAGCACATTAATCCTTCAATCTGCTGTTAGGCCCACCTATCATGCTAATTGAATTTTATTTTGTTCAGGGTTGAACACAGGGCCTTGTGTATGGTAGGCAAGTGCTCTGCCCTGGAGCTATAGCCTCAACCCTAAACTGAGCTGTACCCCTCAGCCATGCTTTCCTCTATCTATCCATCTATCCATCTACCTATCCCTCCCTCCCTCCATCCATCTTTGGTGTTGGGAATTGGAATCTTTTTCTCTCTTTCTTTCTTTTTTGCACTTCTCCAGAGGCATTTCCTTTTAGAATTCCCAGGTTGGGTGGTTAACTCTGCCACAATCCCAATGCAAAAATCTCGCTGTTTTCTACAGAGATATACCCCATTCAGTGATATGAGCCAGTAAAATCTAATTTGTTTCAGCCACTTTTAGTTTCATTTCCTACCACATATGACTAAAAATTCTTAATTGATACTGTTGAGATATTACCCTTCTTGGTGTCAAGACAGGTGCAGTAGCTCCTGGTGTCAAATGCAGTCATAACATCCAGAGGGGTGGGACACTGACTGTCATGCATCTCTATCTATAAGGAGGGGAAACATCTTTTCTAGGATCCCCAGTTCAGAATGCCAGGCATGCATCATGCTACATGGAATGGGATGGAAATGAAAAGCTAATAAAATTTTTCATTCATTCCTGATCCTGAGCAAAGCACTGCAGTGGCTCGATATGCAAATGAAATTGGGGCTCTGTCTCCAGAGTAAAATGTGAGAAGGAGCCAGATGTGTTGACACATCTGTAATCCCAGCACTGTGGGGCACTGGGGGAGAAGGATCACAAATTTGATCCTAGCCTGAGTACGAGCGACTTACCAAGACCCTGTCTCATATTGAAAAAATTAAAAAGGGCCGCGAATGTAGCTCAGTGCAAAGGCTGTGAGTTCAATCCCCAGGAGGGAGGGAAGGAGGGGGAGAGGGAAGAGGGTCTATAAAGAGGGGTGTGCGTGTGTGTGTGCGCGCGCGCGCGCGCGCGTGTGTGTGTGTGTGTGTGTGTGTGTGTGTGTGTGTGTGTGTGTGTGTGTAATGGTGCATATCCATCTGTTAACGCGATTTAAACTTCGGGATAGCATCATGAATGGATCTTTTCACTTTTCACTTATAGAATTTTTATTAGTTTATACTACTTTGGTAGTTTAGCTTTAAAAGGACTGCTTCCATCTGAAAATGGTACGCTCAGAAATAGAGCTGTGATTTAAAAAAACAGCCAGAGAAACATATGTTGGTTATATAAAGCCAGACCTGCTCCTTACATGTACACTGAGGTACCAGTGGCGGCCCTTCTCTACTGAGATCTGGAGGCACAAGGCTATCGGAGCCTGGTGCCATAAAATATTTACACCATCAAACCCCTTCTCTCACACTCTCAAGGCTGCCTTCATATCATAAACCGGCTCCCTGTGCACATTTTCCTATAGGGAAAGACGGTGACGGACAGGGCAGTGTGAGCATGCTGGCCCCTTGGCAGTTCCACTTCGCATAACAAGTCACTACGGTGGTCCTTCAGCTCAGATAGAAGGACAGGAGCTGAGTTAGTAACATACTCCCGAACGCCCAGGATATAGTTCTCCCTTAGTGCTGTTAAAGTCAGATTGATAAGCCTGGACCAAGGTAAATGTCACCCCTGACACCACTTGGCGGCGGGCCGGCCCTGATGACACCTCTGTCTTTTCAAGCACATTTCTCTCTGTCCTGTGCTTCCTAGACACATCCATCTCACCAACTCTCCTTTTCTGTGCTTTCCTCTCTCTCCCTCCCTCCCTCTCTCCCTCTCTGACTCTCCCTCTGTCTCTCTCTCCTTTCCTCCGCACCCCTTATCCTTTCTTTATTCTTCCTTTCCTTTTTTTCTTCTTTCATTTCTCACTTTAATTAAATATGGAGCTGAATAATACTATATACCAGAGCTCTATGCCGAGTAGCATGTTGGGCGATATGCTAAAATTGGTTTTTTTCAGTCAGCAGGGTAGCACGTGCCTGTAATTCCAGAATTCTGGGAGGTTGAGACAGAAGGATCACAAATTCAGGCCCAGTCTAGGCAATTTAGTGACTTAGTGAGACCCTGCCTCAAAACAACCACAAAAACATAAAATAAAATAAAATGGGCTGGAGTCATCTCTGTGGTAATACACAAAAAAATTGGTTTTTGACCTCACAATAGCCCTGAAAAGTTTTTATTCCTATTTTACTGAGGAAGAAATAGAGACTTCTAAAGGGCAGGTAGTTATATTTTAAAATTTAAAGATTTTCTCTGTTTAATTTTATTATCAATTAAATGCCTTATATTTCCTTTTTCTTAGAAAATGCAATTTGAAAATATGTTTACAGCTACCTTTTTACCTTTGGTTGTGATTTGCTTGTGCCAGAAAAAAAAATCCACCTCAAGTATGTTTATTCTTTCCTTAGGCAGGAGAAGGAGACATGAAATGAATAAGGAAAGATACATTTTTTTGGTACTGGGGATTAAACTCACAGCCTGTACACTCAGTTACATCCCCATCCCTTTAAAAAAAAATTTTTTTGAGACAGGATCTCACTGTGTAGTTGAGACTGACCTGGAACTCACTATGTAGCCCAAGCTGGTCTCAAACTCACAGCGATCCTCCTGCCTCAGCCTCCCGAATGCTGGGATTACAGTCATGTGCCACCACATCCGGTTTAAAATTATTTTTTTTAGAGCAGAGTATAGTGGCACACACCTGTAAACCAAGTCCTCAAGAGGCTAAGGCAGGAGCCACTAACAGTTTGAGGCCAGCCTGGGCTACCTAGTGAGTTCAAGATCAGCCTGAAGTACATAGAGAGACCCTGTCTAATTAATTAAGTTTCCCAAGCCTGGCAATTGAATTTGTGATTCTCCTGACTCTGCCTCCCAGAATGCTTGGATTTCAAGTGAGCACTACACCTACCTGTGACCCATTGGGTGTTCAGGAGAGTGTTACTCAATTTCCATGTGTTTGTGAAGTTCTTCTGGTTTCTTATGCTATTGATCTCCAGTTTGATTGCACTATGGTCTGATAATATACATGGGAGAACTTCAATTCCTTTGCATTTACTTAAACATGTTCTATGAGCTACTATGTGGTCTGTTTTGGAAAATGACCATGTGCAGCTGAAAAGAATGTATATTCTCATTTTGTCAGGTAGAACACTGTAGGTGTCTATTAAGTCCATTTGTTCAAAAGCTTGGTACAGTTCTAATATTTCATTGTTGATTTTTAGTCTAGATGATCTGTGTATTTGTGACAATGGGGTATTGAGGTCTGCCACTACAGTTGTATTAGTGCTAATTTGTTGTTTCATGTCCCTTAATATTTGTTTTGTATAGTTGGGGGCATTAGTATTTGGTGCATATATATTTATGATTGTTATCTCTTCCTCTTGGGTTGTTCTTTTTTCAAGGATGTAATGATCTTCTTTGTCTCTCTTAATTAGTTTTGGTTTGAAATTTACTTTGTCTGCAAATAAGATAGCTACCCCTGCTGTTTTCTGAGTTTGTATGGCATACAGAACTGTTTTCCATCCTTTTACTTTCAGTGTGTGAGTATTTTTTTCAAGTAGGTGTGTTTCTTGTATACAGCATATTGTTGGATTTTGCTTCTTAATCCATTTTGCCTGTCTGTTTCTTTTGATTGGAGAGTTGAGGCTATTGACATTGATGGTTATAACTGATATGTATTGACTTATCATTGTCATATTATTTTCCTGTTGTTCTTTTTTAAAATTTTTTATTCCTCTCCCTTTAAATTCTTGCCTATTAGATTTGCTCTGTCATGTCTCATGGAGTTGTGACTAGGAAAATTTATTGGGAAGTGGGAATAAGGAAAAAGAATGGGAAATAAGAATAGCTCCTGGGAGATAGGAGGCGTCTCTAGTGGTATGCCTGAAAATGCACTTTTAATTCCTTTGGCTGTTGAGTTAGGCTTCTCAGTCCCAACAACTGTTCCCCTATGGTCCAAGAAGGTGGTGAGGTGGAAGTAAGTGAAAACTCCTTTCCGTAGTGCTCCCTTGGGGGTCCAGGAGGAGCAGAAGAAACAAACAGGCTGTTTCTAGTTGTGTTTGGCTCTCCTCCGCACTTACTCCAGGGCATGAAAGGTGCTTGGCTCCTGGAAATACCAAATATAATCACAGGATCTTGGTTCTAGGCTACAGGAGTAGGCAGCGGAGCCTGGGCTAAAGGTCAGAGTGCAATAGCACAGAAGTACCAGGTTCAGGCCCTCATGGTTCAGCACCGTGGACAGCAATCAGCCAAATGGTGGGGGGGTGGTTCAGCCCTATGACCAGTAGCTCCTCCCTGCTCTCACCCCAACCCTGTTCCTGCTTATTGCTGTTCCAGGAAGGGCCATAACCCTGGCTATTATTAGTTGACTGGCCTCCAGCTCTTAAAGGTCGTGATGAATGATGGTTTCTTTTCCTTCTAAGGCCCTCCAGAATTTTTTCACTGAGTTATCTATTCTTGCAGTCTTCTGGTAGAGCACAGTCCACAGTCCATGGTGGAGCAATTTTTATTAAGATGTGTCTGATTTGCATATATCTTCATACACTATGGTTTCTCTGTTCTAGTTCTAATATAAAAGAATTGTTCAAAGGAAGAAAAAGGATTATTTTACTGCTTTTATTCCTCTTGCTTTTCCCTATTCCTAGGGTTTCCGTTGGGCATTTTCTCCACATGGCTGCAACTGGACTCCCCACAACCTGGGGTTTGTTGAGAACATCCTATATAGCTCTCTTCAGTTAACTTCCCCCATCTGTCTGTCTTCTGAAAGATCTTTGCAAGGCTCGGAGGGAGTCTGCATTTTGTTTTTGCATGTAGGGTCAGAACCTTTGGGCTGGAGTCCCTGGAGCTGCCACAACTGGCGCCTCAGAGACTGCTAAGGAGATGGGACCGGTTCTGAAGAGAGGAGAGAGGGATGGTGCAGGGAGAACTCATTCTGAAATGAAAAGGAGTCCTGGGTCTCTAAGCAGCTTCTAAAAATACCATCTCCCAGCGCTGGGGGCAGGGGGAGGGGAAATCGATGGTGAGGAGAATGAGGATGGGAAGGAGGTGGGGAGCAGGAACCCTTCTTCAGGTGGATCTTATTTCAGAGGCCCTGCCGGCATCCAGGAATCGGCCAGGTGCCACACCCCCTTGGCTGCCTCAGCGGGCTTCTGCCTCCGCGGTATGCGAGCCCCGCCTCCATCTGACCCTTCTTTCTAGGAGCAAAGGAGACCAATTCCTCCCACCTATTCCTCCTATCGCTACATACTGTCCAATAAGTATGTCTGAGTGTGTGTGTCTGTGCACATTCTACACACACGCACACACACACGTGCCATCACGCATACACAGAAACGAAGACAGCTTGTAAATGGCTAGTGATCTGAAAAGCCAGGAATTCTCATTACACTGCGCTCAGAGAGGTATAGAATGTGGTAAAGATGGGGCGCTCCACTCCTCAGGTATCCATGGCACAAAGCACGGCACCCAGGAAGTGCTGTTCGGAGGGGTGAGGAGTACATGCAGGCAAAATGACACAGACACTCAGACCTCAAAGGCCAAGTGGAGGCGGGACTCCTAGTCATCTCGGAATCTCTCCCGCTATTATAGTGTCCAAAGGGAAAGGGGCTGGGTCCCCCAAAATGAACTGAAAAACCACAAAGTGGGTGGAGCTTTCTCCCTTCAAAGTTCAGCCTAAATGGTGAAGCTCTATAGCTGCCGCTTCCTTCATCCCGAACAGCCCCAGCCCTTCCTACCACCAAACGGTTAAACCTTTGGCTTGCACATAAATGACCTTCGCTAAATAGAGGTCATGTTCCACCTTTTCTTGCGGCTCCAGCGCTGGCTGAACTCTGTCTGGGAGGACGGCTCCGCCTCTCTTGCAGATGCCTCGGATTCCCGGCCACTGCCCGCGGCGCCAGCCTCCTGGGGTGGGTGGAGTGGGGTACTCAGAGGGGGACCCCAGCCTGAGCAGACTAAGAACAGAGGTGGTTGCGGGGTGTGCTGATGTGTATTAGCAGTAGTAGCAAGAACCCCAAGAACCCATGGTTCTGCAAATCTCCAACGCCCCTATCACAGCGTCCACGTTTTCCCATCCTCGGTAGCTCTGCTGCTAGGGTAGGATCCTGTCTCCCACTTGGCTCTTTTTTTTTTTTTTTTTTAGCAGTTCCTGCGGTTGGGCTTACCTCTCCCTCCCTAGTGTGTGTGTATGAGAGAGAGAGAGAGAGAGAGAGAGAATGAGATCAAGCCAAGAGACCCCAGGTACCGCAACACAGGAAGAGGCCCAGGGCTGGGAGGGTAGAGATCCCAGAGCTCAGGGAGGGTCAGGGCATCAGGCTTGGCAATCCCCGCAAGTCCTGGGAATAAGACTGCTCCCAGGCTGGCTGAGAGGCTGCAAGAGTCGCCACTTCCCAGTGGACCGCCCCTTCCTAAACCACGCCCACCCCGCCTACTTCTGAGGAATGAGGGGCTACGGTTAACATTCTGTTCCACCGACGCAGCTCCTCTCGCTCCCCAGCAGCCCGGCTCCAGCTCGGGGCTGCCCCACCCCCATGGCTTGGAGATCTTCGGGACCCCTTCTTTTCCCTCTCCAGTTAGGTGTTCCGCCCCTGGCCTATGAAACTCCACCTCCCCACCCTCTGCTGGCCCGGATTGGTGAACCTCTCCCCCTTCCAGTTGGGCTTTGCCAGCTTCTGTTCCTCTCTTTCTGCAACAGGAAGCACCCTAGTGGACCTTCCTGCTTGTGTGCCTTCCGGGGGTGGGGCAGGTGCTAGCCACAGCGGGCCTGCTCCTGCTGGGTCTTCTAATTTGTTCCACTGGTCCTCAGGTCTGTTTCTCTGCCGCCTGCTCGTCTGCCTGATGCCGCTCTGTCTCGCGCTGGTTTTGGGACGCGGGCGGCCCGGGACCGCCGAGGAAGGTAAAGAGGCCGGTGGCTGTGCTGGGAGCCTGGGATGTTAACAGATTCGGGGCCAGGGACGCGGGTGCTGGTCGGAGTCGTTGGGGAAACTAGAGTCTGTTTGGGATCTGAAGCAAGCGGGGAGCGGGCGGCAAAGAACAAGAGAGAGAACGAGAAAGGTGGCTAAGCGATGGGAAGAGAGCGGCATTAAGGATCTTGGGGCTGGAGACCTAGGAGGGTCGGGAAAAAAAGAGACCAAGGAACCGCGGGAGCCAGGGGCCAGTAAGATGGACAGGTTGAGTGATTGGAGGTGGAAGCTGTGGGGGCGGGGAGAAGCAGAGAGCAGAGGAGACAAGACGCGAAGGTGAGATCGGAGTAAGAGGAGAAAGGATGGATCCCCAACAGCTGGGGCTCGGGGACCACTGCGTGGCCATCAGGAGGTGGAATGATGGACTGGGTGGCGGTGCAGCCTCAAAGGCTGGCCGTGGAGCTGTCCGCAGTGCTGAATTCGGAGCCTGGTCTATCTGGCGCGGACCGCGTTGCCGGGTTGGGAGCTGTCAGCAGTATCAGAGCCCGCTTCTTCCCTTTGATTCTGCATTTGGGGGAGCTATAGGGTCAGCTAAATCCAGAGGCATCATAGCCAGGTGTAGAATCCTGAGGAGCTGGAATTGGGCACTGACCACAGGATTGGTCCCAGTGCTGGATCGCAGATGTCTTTCAATATATAATTCCCATGTGCTGTCACTTGTGTGAAATCAGCATATGTCAGCGGTCCTGCCCACCATCGCGGATGCCTCTGGAGCCTGCCCCTTTTAGAGACCCTTACCTCGGCGGCCCACCCTCTTCTTTAAGCTCCAGATGAGTAATCCTCCAAGATTTGGGGGTAGGCTGGCTTCCTATCCGCAGGCTGCTGGTTCTGCTGTCCAAACCCGTGCTTCTCTGTGACCAATGCTGAGAAAATGCAGACTCCTGATCTGACACCTCCCCGTGGAATAAAGTGACACCAAGCTTCTCTGGTGTGGGAGGCATCATGGATTATACATAAAAGGGCCCCTGATATCTTTTCAACAGCAGTAGAGTGACAATACCTTGAAAAGGGTCTGGTTGAGAAGATGGGATATTTTTATTTCTCCTGTTGCCAGTAGGATCTCACTACTTGGCTTCCCTGGAGGCCCTGGGAATCAAAGGAGGAAGGATGAAGTCTCCTCCACACCGGGTGACCAGCCTTCAGAAGAGCCTCTGGATCTGAGTGAATTTGAGGAATCCCCAGTTACACTCATTTTCTCTCTCTAGTAGACACTTAGCTATAATTTAGGAAACCTGGAAAGGATGGGGAGGATCACTGTCTCCCTACCTGCAATTTGAGAGCTGGCCTTAGGGCATGTGCCAGAGATTCTGTGGAAGACTGAATAATGTCATCCCTCCCTAAAAATGTCCATGTCCTAATCCCCAAAAACCTGTGAGTTCTCTTGTAAGTGGCAAAAACGGGGACTTTGCAGATATGATCGAGGATTCTGAGATGAAGAGGTTCTCCTGGATTATTTGGATGGGTCCAGCGTCATCACAATGCCATGGCCCTTATATGAGGGATGCAGGAGGAGTCAGAGTCTGAGGGGAAGGGGTATGATGACAGAAGGGCTGGTTGAAGTGATGCACTTTAAGGTGGAGGAGGGGCCATAAGCCAAGGAACACAGGAGGCCACTAGAAGCTGAAGAAGGCAAGAAATGGATTCTCCCCTCATCACCTCCCGAGGAATCTTTCCTGCTGACCCTGACACTTAGTGAAACTGATATCAGGCATCTGACCTCCAGAGCTGTAAGAGGAAAAAAAAATCATGTTGTCTTAAGATACTAGGTTTGTGCTAATTTGTTACAGTAACCCCAGGAAACTATATAGGCTCTTTTCCTAATTATTGTTAGCTTCATCTCTCTGGACTTGAGCGATTCACGCCCCCCCCCCCGCTCCAGGGATTTACAAAATAGAAAACACTTGTATGTATGCTTTGCCACATCCTTTATTCTCTTGGTTAGCAAATTTACAGAGAATTCAGTGAAAGATCCCACCCTCCTAAACTGACCTTTTCACTTTCTGACATCTCTGTTCTCCACTCTCCTTAGTCATTCTCCTGGATTCCAAAGCCTCCCAGGCTGAGCTGGGCTGGATTGCACTGCCAAGTAATGGGGTAGGTGTAAAATCATCCCTCCATGCCCCAGGGGTTTTCTGGTACTCTTAAGTCTCAGTCCCTTTAGCTCCCTAAGTTCACATCAAGTCCAGGTGCATCTCCAGAGGTGTGGTCTACAGCAGTTCTAATAAGCCAAAGCGGCCTATTACAAAATATTGAGTGGTCAGACAGACACGTGGATAGATGATAGACAGACAGGTAGGTAGGTAGCTGGCTCTGTCCAGGAAGAGATATGTGACATCTACATGGAGCTACAACTGGACAGTGCCTTGCACATGGTAGATACACCAAGCAGTGTGGTCTGGTGACTGACAGAGCAAGCGAGGCTCGGGAGTCCTAAAAGAGTCTTGGGAGGTGGGGTGGGGGTGCAAGTGGTGTGGGTTATAACGGCAGCTTGGTGTACTGCAAAGCGTACTGCACGGAAGTTAGGAGACTCCAGGAAGCATTTCTAGCCCTGCCTCTAACTCAGTCCACGCACTCGGTCAATTCACTCTCCCTCTGCAACCTCAGTTTCCCATCCATAAAAATAAAGATTAGTGCTTGCTTCAACAGCACATACACTAAAGTTTGGATCATACAGAGAAGATGAGCATGGCCCTGATCAGGGGTGACGTCAAACTCGTGAATCGTCCTAAGTTAAAAAAAGAAAAAAAAGGATCGTTTGTTTCCAAAGTTTCTTCTAGGTCGACCTTTGGGGCGTTTAGGGTAGTGAGAGAGGGGTCAGGAGAGGGTGAGATTACAGAGAAGAGGCCAGGGCTTGACCCCCCTCTTCATTCTTTGTCTCAGTGGGAGGAGATCAGTGGCGTGGATGAACACGACCGGCCCATCCGCACGTACCAAGTGTGCAACGTGCTGGAGCCCAACCAGGACAACTGGCTGCAGACAGGGTGGATCAGCCGTGGACGTGGGCAGCGCATCTTCCTGGAGCTGCAGTTCACACTCCGCGACTGTAGCAGCATCCCTGGCGCCGCAGGCACCTGCAAGGAGACCTTCAACGTGTACTACCTGGAAACGGAGGCTGACCTAGGCCGTGGGCGTCTCCGCCTGGGAGGTAACCGACCCCGCAAGATTGACACAATAGCAGCAGACGAGAGCTTCACGCAGGGCGACCTGGGTGAACGCAAGATGAAGCTGAACACAGAGGTGCGTGAGATCGGCCCGCTCAGCCGGCGGGGTTTCCACCTGGCCTTCCAGGACGTGGGCGCGTGCGTGGCGCTGGTCTCTGTGCGTGTCTACTACAAGCAGTGCCGCGCCACGGTGCGGGGCCTGGCGGTGTTCCCAGCCACTGCGGCCGAGAGCGCCTTCTCCACACTGGTGGAAGTGACCGGGACGTGCGTGGCGCACTCGGAAGGGGACCCTGGCAGCCCTCCGCGCATGCACTGCGGTGCTGATGGCGAGTGGCTGGTGCCCGTGGGCCGCTGCAGCTGCAGTGCGGGATTCCAAGAGCGTGGTGACGTCTGCGAAGGTATCTGGCGGACTGGGTGGTGCGAGGTGGGAGCATAGTGTGCAGGTGGCAATTGGGAGACGCAAGACGGAGAGGAACGGAGAAGACGTGGGCTTCTGGGAGCTGGGGGTCGTGGTCTCTTGCGAAACTTCTAGTGGACCCAGTTTGTGAAGTTACCAACTTCTCCATGACGAGGCTTTAGGGATCTGTATTTCAGGGTCTGCAATAGGCAGCTCACACAGGCCTTTTCATTTATCTCCTTATTTCACAGATAGGAAACAGCCTCAAAGAGATCAATACTTCACTTGCAAAGTTAGGAGATGGGGAGTCAGGATTTTAATGCAGCTGTGCTCAGCTTTCAGGCTCTACCATGCCAGGCCACCTTTTCCTACACATAGTTTTGGGCTAGCATTATAGGGAGTGAGCTCTGTGTCACATGCAGCTGCTGACCACACACTGTACAAGTCAGAGGGTGGGGGGGCATTCTTGAGTTCAAGGGAAAATAGGAGGTTGCACCAGATAACTACTATGACCCCACTCAACAGTGTGTGTTGGAATCATTGTGTCCTGCAGGGGTGTCCTCCATGGTGGGTTTCTGACAGGCTCTTTCTTCAGTTGAGGACATTAGGAACAGATTTCTCCGGTCCACTGTCTGCAGCTTTGGAAGCAGAGCCTAAGGACGGAGTTGTGAATATATGCCTTTAATGTAGAAGGGTCAAGAAATATGTAGACCAGGTCCTTTTTTTGTGGCCAAGACAAGGGAAATGAATCAGACATAGTCCCAGCTCTTGAGATGCTCAACACATAGAAGAAAGGCAAAGATTTTTAAAAAGTCACACAGGGGTGACACATAGTATAACACAGGGATACAGAGTGGTGGGAAGGCAGAGGAGGAAGAGACTAAACTTACTGTCGTGCCTGTGTTCAGTCATCTACTCAGTAGAAGTTGAGAACCTACCAGCTGCATTTTGTGTGTAGATAGATGAACACCACCATCTATCTCAGGGGAAATGGATTTAGTAATCAACTCAGAGGCAAGAGTCTTCCTGAGCTCTTCAGGATCTTGTTCTGTGCTCTACATCTCTCACTTCAACCTCTATTTCTATAGTTACACCCGTGGTATACGGTGGTCTACTTACGTGAATTTCTCCTACTAGACTAGAAACTTCTTGAGCCCAGACCCTGGGTGTTATTAGTCTCAGCAGCTCTAGCGTCCATAGCAGGATATAATATAGGTAGGAGAGGGGCTAAGTGGGAAGGCACTGAGCGAAGAAGTGGATGCCATAGATTTCATTACATATCATTGGAGAACCAAAGACACATGGAGAGGGAGGACCCAATTCTAAGGATGAAGAGTTTCCCAGAGAAAGCAAGAAGGCCTTTATTTCCGGCAGCTGAGAGCATTCTGAGCTTAGGGACTGTGTGCAAATGCACGGTAGCAGGAAGGTAGCATGGTTGGTGCTAAGTAAGCCAGTGAAGTCAGAGCAGAGGGCATGTAAGGGGTGTGAGAACTGATGAGCCAGAGAGGCCAGGGCAAATCATGAAGGGACCACGAATGTTGGGAAAAGGAGCTCAAGCTTTATACTTTATACCAGTGAGTAATCTAACATGTTCAGATTTACATTTTCAAAAGATCACTAGAGCTACAGTAGCAAAGAAAGGAGTGGAAAGGAAGGATTAGAGGCCAGAAGATGAGGAAGAAAGATAGTGCAGTAGTCCAGAAGAAAAAGCATGGGCTCTTGGACTAAGGTGGTAGCAGAGATCCTTGAGAGCTGAGGATTGGTGTGATCAGGGGATAGCATCCGAAGCATTTAGTGACCACGTGATACAAGAGACAGGAGCCCCTTTGACTCCTATGCTGCTGGGAAACAAATGGACAGAGGGATCAACCACAGGGTGCTGAACACAGAGGCTGTGGATTGGCTGGTGCAAGGAGGGGAGGTAGCTAGAAAGTGGGGCTACAGCTCAAAACTCAAATACTATTCAAAGCTGTGGGTGTGGCCAAGGTAAATTAGGGGACTCCTGGGGTAAGAAGCAAGAGGGCCAATACGGCAGACGCAGAGGAGCAATATTTCAGGAGAAGTGGCAAAAACCAGAGCGTATTAGAAAGACTAAGGAGTAGTGAGAAGCTGGGGGGTAGCCAGGAGCAGGTCTGTGGAATCCCAGGAAGATGGTGGCATCTGGAAGGAGCAGCCTACAGTGTGGATGAGCAGACAGGTAAGTCAGGGATCAGACAACGTCCACTTGGTGGCCTTGGTGAGAGCAGTTTTGGTTGAGTGGAGAGGCCATTTTACAGTAGGCTGAGAGTGAAGGACACAGATGAGTTGGAGTCAGGGAATCTAGGAGCTTGGACTTGAATAGGGAGGAGAAGAGGTGGCATCTTCAGGAGGTCATCAGGGGAGGAGGGAAGGGGTAGAGAGAGAGGAAGTGAGAGAGGGCTGTCATTTGAATACAGACAGAGGACTTGTTTGTATGCTGAAGGGAAAGAGCCAGTGGGGTACCAAGTGTGTGGGAGGCGGGAGTGGTCAGCTCCAGGGGAAGGAGTCTTTCATCACTGATCCATGTCAGAAGTACTGATGCATATTGCTAACAAAAAAGTAGGCCAACTTTTAGCATTTACTTAATTGACTGATTACAGTACTGGGGATTGGATGCATTGAGCTATATCCCAGGGCTTTTAAAAATTATTTTTATTTTGAGACAGAGTCTTGCAAAGTCACTAAATTGCCCAGGCTGGGCTTGAACTTGCAATCCTTCTGCCTCAGCCTTCCAGAGTGCTGGGATTAAAGGTGTGTCCCACCATGCCCAGCTAGTCAGATTTGTGATTGTTTAAAAATATTCTCTATGCTGGGGATTTAGCTCACTGGTGCTGCTGCCTGCCTCCCAAGTGCAAGGTCCCAAGTTTGATCCCCAGTACAAAAAAAAAAAATTATCTAGTCCATGTCTTTATTTCCTGTACCAGAAATGGACCATTGGAAAGAGCACACAGGGGAGCCAGCAGCGGGTATGACTGATGGGATGTAGCCTTTTTCTTTGGTGGTACTGGGAGTTGATCCCAGGGCTTTTGCACTGTAGACTTGAAGGCAGGGGTCCAGAGTAGAGTGGAAGAGCTAGCCTTCAGCAGGACGTGGCTCATCCCCTCCTCTAGGACTGAAAATGAGGAGGGGGAGATGAGTGTGTATGGAGGTATCTGTGGGTTTTGATGGCCATATGCTGAGGGAATTACCACCTGATGGCTTCTCTTTCCCTTGAGGTGGGAAGGGGAAATCTGTACCAGTGGACAGTCAGATGTTTCTCTCTTTTATTCATTGCTGTTTGTCTGTATGGCTAGAACAGTGCCTGGCTCATAGTAGATGATGAAATTATGAAGTCAGGGGCTAGGGAAGAAGGTTTGGGTTCACACTCTAGGAAAACACATGCATGAAAGTAAGCTAGCATGCACACATGTGCATGCACACAAACACACAAACACAGAGGAATCCAAGTCCACTTCTAGTTTGTGAGGAGCTCCCTTTCCTTGGGCTCAGACCAGACAAAAGCCACTTTTTTTGTACCAGGGATAGAGCTCAGGACCTTGTGCTTACAAGGCAGGTACAGTGCCGCTGAACTAAATCTGCAGCCCCAAAAGCCACTTGTAATGGCATCATCTCTGCCCTGGGGAGTGAGGAGCTGGGGACAATGCCAGGGAAAGCATCTCATGGGAGTGCTATTTGAACCGGGGTTCAGAGAAGTACTGAACTAGATTACTCGGAGAAAAGGGGTATGTTACAGGGCAAGACCCAGAGGTGTGACAAGAGCTCATTGTAGCATGGGTAGGGTGACTGCCAGTGGAAGCTGTTAGCAAGCTTTAGGAAGAGACATGAAGTGGCCAGGTGTGTATTTAGCAAGTCCAAGCCTTCTGAGTGTCTTCTGTAGCTACTTACAGAGTCCTCTTGAGAGATAGGTGGATGTGGAGAAGAGTACTAAGATGTTCTTTTCTCTTTTTGGTTTATCTCTTTACTGACCCTGACTCTTATTCTCCCTCTTCTTGCCTCTAGAGGAATTAGTGAAAAAATCGGGGTTCCTCTTTGGGGAAAAACCCAGGCATATGACTTGTATCTTCAGATCTTTGTGGGGCTGCCCTGGAGTCAGGGTCCAAGCAGGTATATATTCTCTGAGGTTCTGCAGGGTACACTGAGCTCCATCCAGGGGTTGGCATTAGGGGGATGACAGACCAGGAAGCTAATTTGGGATCCTCCTAAGAAGCACTTTTCAACTGCCATGATCTACGAAAGTAGCCTCTGAAGGGGGTTAACTTCCCATTCTGCAGTATGTGATCAGGGACCATGGCTGCTGCTCTGAAACTGCCAGAGGACCAGGCCAGTGGGAGCTGAATTAGATGACCTCTGAAATTCTGACTCTGACCTTGAGGAAGAGAGGCAGGTGCTGGCTTTCAGGAATCCCTTTCTGAGTCTGCTCTTCAACCCACACCTCTTTCAAATAGAGCCTCTGGGGCAGAGATAACTGTGCTGCCCCTGATGGGACCACACATAGCAGCTAGGACAGCAGCCTTCCCTTACACACAGCAGTGAGGACCTCCAGCGTTCCTGCCTCATGCCCTGTGACCTTGCACCCAACCCTACTCTGGCCCTCCCCTTCTCCACAGCACAGGCAGGCAGGCTGTTGTTAGTGTCCCATTTAACTAAATCCAGAGAGGCACAAGGCATATCTGACTAACATCGTATAACCCAGGCTCTGAGTCCCAGCCTCAGTGGTAGCTAGGCCCACGACTAATCATGGAGGCAGTAACTTCCAAAGGCTCCTGGGGGAGACCCTCCCCCAAGCTATGCTGCCTGGAACTCTGGGCAAGCTTGGTCCTCCAAGTGTAAGCCCTGAAGACCATGGCTATCCTCAGCCCTCCTCTCTCACCAAGACCTTTCTTCCTAAGGCTGCTGTGCTAGGTCTTCTCGGAGCTGGACAGCAGCTGCCTTGGGTCATCAGCTAAACTAGAGGGGAGACCAGGGAGCAAGGTGAGGCCCACCCGAGCTCAGAGAGGAGAGACCAGGACTCACTATATCCCTCTTCCCTCCCTGGTCCAGCTGGACAGAAATTATTTTAAAGTGGGTGTCTCTTCATTTCCGTGTCAGGCCTGTGAGAGAGGAACAGCAATTACCACCATTATTGCATAAGAGCTGTCTGTACAGGGCTCATGTTTTATCTCAGTTGTTTCGTCTCGGTGTCCTCCCACAACCTGTCAAGGCTCAGACAGGACAACTGACATACCCAAAGCCACACAGCAAATGAGGCGTGCAATCCCGGTCGTTGAGCTATTTTTTAAAAGCCTGTGCTGTTAGCATCTGTGCTCTGGGTGAGATGCGGAAGAGAGAAGCAACTGAGTAGGTGTCAAGACTAGGGTCTGATACACGGTCCAGGAAACTGTCAAAGTCCCTCTCCTCTCTCCACCCCCCTCCACCTACCTGGCTCCACTTCCAAACGGGAGACCAGAATGTGAGCTTGGAACTTATGATGCAGTGACCAAAGGACAGTGGTAGGAGCCTGAGCTCTGACAATGTGTTTGTGTGTCAGCATCTGTGGGAGCGGGAGTGTGGGTGTGTGTCTGTCCTTGGGCAAGTCCAGGCCAGCCTTGGGGCTCCTGTCTTCCATTCTTTTCTTCATGTCAGGACCACACTGCTCAGCTCATTTTCCTCCAGAGAGTCAGGGACTGTGGCCTCTGAAAGGCCGGGCTGGGTTGGGCTTCCGATAGCTGTGGGGCATTGGGCAATTTAAGCTCAATAGCATTAGTCTCTTCATTTTTAGTACATGTGATGGGAAGTGAGCAATCTTTTCATTGAAAAGCAACAAACAAAAAAATGGGGTGATGCTCAGCCTGCTGGCCAACTCCTACAATCCCAGCACTTGGGAAGCTGAGGCACGAGTTCGAGGCTAGCCTGGGTTATATCTACAATGAATTCAAGGCCGGCCGAACTATATAGCCAGACCGTGTCTCAACAAACAAATAAATAAAAATGGGGTGAAGTCATGCATCACAGGTTGTTATAAGGACCAAATGGATGATGATCGTGAGGACCGAGGGGCCGCGCTGCAGGGGCTGAGTCCCGACTTTCCCCATCACAGTCCAGGGAGGTAACCCCACTCCGATGAGCACAGCCAGGAAAGGGGGAGACAAGCTGCGGAGGAGCCCCCTCCTCACCGGCCCCTCCTCGCAGCCTGTCCCCCAGGGTTTTACAAAGTGTCCCCGCGGCGACCCCTCTGCTCGCCGTGCCCAGAGCACAGCCGGGCCCTGGAAAACGCCTCCACGTTCTGCGTGTGCCAGGACAGCTACGCGCGCTCGCCCAACGACCCGCCCTCGGCGTCCTGCACCCGTGAGTGCCCCTCCCGGCTGCACCGCGGGGGTGGGGGGCGGCCCATCAGGGAAGACGGGCTCAGTG